TAGAGACGGGGTTTCACCATGTTGACCAGGATGGCCTCGATCTCTTGACCTCGTGATCCACCCGCCTCGGCCTCCCAAAGTGCTGGGATTACAGGCATGAGCCACCACACCCGGCCAAGAAGGTAAATTTTTAAGTGAAGAATGTACGGCTCTGCTGGATCCTGTGTTTTATATCATCCTAGAGTATGATCCGAAGAGGGCTAACTAGGGTGACAGGAGGTGTGTTTACTGGGGAAAAGAGTATTAATGGCAGAACACTCTGGGTGCAAGTCTGAGATGAATCAAAGTCTTTTGCACCATGTTTTAGTGTTTACACCATAAAATGATATAAATAGCAATATAAAAATTATTTTAAAAGCTAATCTTTCAAAAATCCAGCAATTTGGCAAATTAAAAATGTTTTAATGGGAAAATATATGTAATAAGCCATTATACTGAAAACACAAATAAAAGAGCATTCTCACCTTTCCTTATACATTTAAACAATAATGACCTAAAGCAATTAGACTTTTGTCAACCTTAGGCTAGAAAGCCAAATGTTAAAATAAGTTAGGTTTATTTAAAACAAATATTTCATGTGAAAGTACTTTTAAGGACATAATCATTATTTGCACTATATAAATCTAACCAAAAATAACTGCAATTGTATTGGTCCTTTTTTCCCCCATGACGACAATGTTTTCCTACTAGATTAACAAAACGCAGTAATGTAAGCAAACAAAAAAATCAAGAAATCTGGTAAATTAATTCAAGTCCTGTTATGACACAGTGCCATGCTCTTGATTAAGTAAATTGAATTTCCTGGGCCTCAGTTTCATCATCAGTAAGTAGAAGGGGTGATAAGATCTTGGGTTTTATGCTGGATTTAATGTGCCATAACTTTAAGCTATCACTTTCAAACCTGATGCCAAATATAATTAGCAGTACACAATTATATACTATAATCCTACAAAGACAACTGTTGATTGCCTTCCCAACAGCCATTTTATCCTTGCTTCTTAACCATGAACCTCACTTTTTGTGAATATCCTTTTTAAAAAACTTTTAATCAACCACTGGTTAGCCACAAGAATAGGATTCAATTCTGGTCAATGATATGCAATGGGAAATATCCTGTGGGGCCACTGGGAAAGGTTTACCTTCTGAAAAAAGAGGAGCACAAGAAAAGATGCCACTCAGCCAGCCCCAAACACACTGTATGAAGGTGTTATATGAGACTTTGGCAGAAATTTTGGAGTTATTTGTGCAGTCCCAAAACAAAACTAGTAGGTCAAGAATGAGCAAAAATGAATCTCTGATAACTTGGTCAAAAAAGTGAACAATTATCCTTATAACCTCTGATTGCCTGACTTTATCTCATATAAAATATTAAATTTCCTTATTTTTAAACCACTTTTACTTAATAATTCTGTTATTTAAAGCTAAAAATTTCCTAGTGGTTATGAAAATTAATTTTAGGTGTCCATTGGACTGGATTGAGGGATACCTAAATGGCGGGTGAAGCATTGTTTTTGGGTATCTGTGGGAGTGTTTTCAGAGGAGGTTGAAGCTGAGTCAGTGGACTGAGAAAGAAACATCTGCCCTCAAGGTGGGCAGATACTATCCAATCAGCTGGGGCTGGGACAAACAGGTAGAAGAAGGAGGACTCTCTCTCTCTGCTCTCTTTTCCTTCCAGGATGAGACACCTTTTCTCCTCCTGTCTTTGGACATCAGACTAGGTTCTTCAGTGTTTAGACTCAGAAACTTGCACCAGTGGTCTCTGGGGACTCTCTGGTTTTTAGATTTGGACTAGGGGTTGCAGAATTAGATTCCCTGATTCTGAGGCTGCCGGACTGAGCGATGCTACCAGCTCTTCTGTGTTACAGCTTGCAGGTAGCCTATCGTGAGACTTCTCTGACTCTGGGTTCATGTAAGCCAATTTCTCCTAATAAATCCCCTCTCATATATCTTATTGTTTCTGTGTCTCTAGAGAACCCTAACAAATGATTAAAAAAAAAAAAAGGAAACAAAAAAATTTAAAGACAAAATTAGATTATCGATTCACCCTTAGCTCCAATCACTAATTATTAAAGTATGTGCAGTAAAGCTCCATAAATGCTTATTATACTTATTTTGTTATCTATCTTTGCATGAGGGAATAAAACATGCATTCTACGCTGAGGTCAATATTTTTGCTATAAATAAAAATCATGTCATGAAAAGGAGAGTATGCAGTAAGTGTATATTCCTACTGGCAGGATTCTCCAAAAAGACATAACATTACCACAACAACTTATGAAGCTAATTTTCAGGCTGCGATTAAGAACATAATAAAGAAGAAACTTAAGCATTAATAATTAAGTTCATTGCTGAATTGTATAGGATACAAGGGTGGACCAGTACAAGAAACAACATTAATTTATTACGTATAAGTTCATTAGAGGGTGATGTTTTTAAATCTGCCATTTAATGTGGTTGGCAAATCTGGGCTAATAAAAAGGGCATTGGAATTGGCTAATAAAGGTTTGGTTATTATCTGCTAAGTAGACTTTCAATTTCTTCATTCATCAAATCTTGGACAACATTTCTGCATTTTTATCTAGTAGATACTTATTTAAAATTATTTTTGACTATACAATAAAATAAATACATTGAGTCAACAGATCTGAGGAAATCAAAAAGCAAAGGAGGGAATCATAAGGTATGGTTTTCCTAAACAAAAATATTTTAAATTTCTTGTGAACTCCTACCAAGCTCTCAAGGGTCAGCTTAAGCACTAAGCGACCTGTGCACATTTTCCTGGTATCCTTTTTAGAGTGACTTCTCACTGTCTTTGAGTCTCATAGTAGATTATTTCTATGTCTATTGTGGCATTCACTGTCACTTTGCATCAGCCTTGTTTCATGTAACTTGTGATTATTAGTCTGCAACATCTTTGAAGGCATGAATGTAGTTTTGTCACATCTGTACCCCTGAAGGATTTATCCATTGTCTTTCATGAAGGAGGTTAATTTGTTGAATTTATGGGAATTGTAATATTTTTATTCTTCAAAACCAGTCTTTTATTAGAGTTTACCCTTAAAACTCTACTATTATAAAAGAACTCTCTGCCTAAAATTATTGATTGCAGTTTCTCTTTACAGTTCTACCAAAAATGTAAAAAGAAATAAAAGGGAAATGAAATTTAAAAAGTACAAATGTCAGGAATGGTACAAAGTGACTTTAACATGCAAGTGACTTTAATACAAGGAAAAAAGTGAGCAATTGTAAAATTCATTTCTCCAGCAGGTATAATATATCACTTTGGGTGCTAGTATCATCAATCTTTCTGGATCACAGAATGAAAAACTCAGAGTTAATTACAATAGTCTTTCTCCAATGCTCTTCTTTTGTGGCTGGTCACCGACTCTAGCAAACCTCTCCTACATCAGTTTGTTATATTTTAATCCTAATTAAAATGATATGAGTAGAGAAAGTAATTACAGCCCTCCTTGACCAGTTGAAATTGCACTGTGATTGGTCTGTGTTCCCTGTCTTCAGTTCCTCTCCTCTAGGTCCATCCTGACCATTGTTGCAAGAGTGAAGGCCTTTTATCGTCCATAATGCCCACAAGACAAATTCCTGATTTTTATGCTGATATTCAATATCCCAGTATATGCCTATGTCTCTGTTTCCAATACCAAACTTCAACTGGGGAAACCTATTCACACAATTTCCTTAACATATTTCACTTTTTCACACTCTATATTCTGTTCGCGCTACTTCCTCTGAGCAAACAACTTTCTCTCTTACCACTACCAATGCAAATCCAATTCATCATTCTAGACTCAAACTAAATTCTACCTATTCCTGCCTCTTCCACACTGTCTTTGATGTATCAGTTAGCATCACATTGATCTCTTCCTTCATCTGAATTCTATACTTCATTTTTTTCATACACCGTTACTAACAATTAAATGAGTAGAACATTATCTTTTAAGAGCCAAAGGTCTTGATAATTTAATGAATTTATATATTCAAAGTCAGGAACCATTTATTTTATCTTTTCATTACCCCTAAGTAACAAACAAAAGGCTCATAACATAGTAAGCATCCAATATATTTTTGATTATTGCTATCGAGGTTTTGATGTGAAAAGCCAAATGGAATTACAACTTGGAGGGCAAGATACAATTAAAATGTATATTGCTGTTGTGACCTCTACACAAACATTTATTTTAAAACGAAAGTGAAAATTTATCTTTGCTACTAAATTAGAAGATGATCAAATAACATCCATACTTAAATAATTCTGCTCTTTTAGTTCATTCTCAGACTGAGTACTGATAATAATGCACTCACTGTTTATTTTTGGGGTTTCAGGCACTTGTACTAGAAGCACTTTCCTATCATGCACAGCTGGATGTATATAATTATACAAATTTTAAAATATCCAGTTGATTTCTGTGAAGTCCTATTTTAATTTCTACATTTTAGCAATGGCTCATGAAAAGCTTGTTTCAATTCAAATTTTAAAAATATGAACAAAGAAATATTATAAATGAGTAAGCTATCAAAAGAAATGTATAAAATATTTATAGAATGTTTAATATAAAGGCACCCACCTGTATGTCAATGTCAAAACCAATTTCATAAAGAGTATTTACGATAATCAGGCAATTGTGCAAATACTGTTCCTCTGTTCTTGGTTTTGTGTACATATTTATGAAATGAGACTCAATCTGTAAAAAAAAAAAAAAAATCAAACCTGTTGGCAATGGAAAAAAAAATTCTGCTTTTTAAGTGGTCTCTATAGTTAGGCAAATAGTCATTTAAATATTAATATTTGTCAGTAATAAATTATTGCAATTAAAATGCAAGAATAAATGAAAAGGTAGTGCTAGCCATTCAGATCCAGGTGTTTGACTTGAATGTAAGATATTCGAAAGAATCTGTTTACAGAAAATATACTTCAAATTTTAACCACTAAATTTTTTCAAATAATAGAAGATCATCATGCACAAAAATGACGCTTACCAAGAATGGGCAATAGGCTCCCAACTGTGTTGCCAAAACTAGGCCATCTAAAAGGTCTTTGTCAAAATTTACTATCCATCTCTCAGAGGGGAAAACATCTGTTTTAAAAAAGAGGGAGAGTAAATACAGCAATAGTTTTACTTCACTGAAAGATACCTATGGAAGTTTAAGCAATAGTAAAAGAAAATTTTGCTTCTGCTGGAAAACAAAAAGCATATTATATTGGAAATAAAAACAAATTTTAAGCCCCAGAAGATTAATATTATGAGAGTTATCTGTAAGGCTTTATAAACAGTTGTAAGCTGCCTTCTTTATTTCTATATGAACTGCTTTGAAAAATACACTACAGTGTGGTAATGGAAGAGAAATTCAATGTTTCAAACTTACTTGTTCTGTTGAGTACCTTGAGGTTCAAATATTTAATCAATGATCATCAATATGGGTAAGGATACTGAAAAAGCATAAAGTTACTTGTATCTTTAGAGTACGAGTGCCAGTTTCATTTCTGGCAGAAATTTCTCCACATGGTAGGAAAGTATGTGAAAGGAATTCAAGATTTATGGGTTAAAGAAACCAAAATTGGCCTATAAAAGACAATATAAGATGGAGGAGTAGTAAAAGGAATTCTCAATTTCAGACATGATTGCTATGCTGAATCCAGAACAAAAAAAGAATATATTTGAATTTTAAGTGAATATCTGAAATACCTATATTGGGTGGAGGGTAAACAGTGGAAATAATTGCTATCTTGAATGTGACATTTTCTCTTTCAGTAAGTTTCCAAAAAGCCTAGATTCTTTATGGTGTGAGACAATTTCTTGTCTGAAAACAAGAGGCAAATGGTGATATTTATAAATTCCCTCAAATCTCTCTACTTCCATTTTCTGTGAAGAAGAAAGCATGACAGGATATGTCCATGACATGTATACTAACTTCACAAATCAGGACTGCTTTACACCTGGAATCGGAAGACTTAATTTTCACTCGAATCACAGATGTCCTGGACACTTCACAGACAATCTCCAGTACTCTTTCATCTGAGAAGCTACAGCACTGAAAATTTCTATAGGATTTCTATAGTATATCATCACAAAATCAGTCTAGCAAATAAAGATCACTAAGGATTTTCAACTAATACATAGCAAACAATCTATTTTTCAAAGCATTGTTTCCTGATAGAAACTTATAAATAACATTTTTGATATAAGATTCAATGTAATCAAATTAATGATTTTAAACATACATTGCCAGTTGGCTGAATAATAACCTAAATGTGCTTTTCTTTTTGTCCAGCTTTGATGTATAATTGCCAAATAAAGAGTGTATGTATTTAGAACACAAATTATATTTTGACATAAGCATTCCTTGTACAATGATTCCCAAAATCAAGCTAATTAACATATTCATCACTTCACATAGTCACCATTTTGTGTATATGTGTGTGGTGAGAACATAAGATCTACTCTCTTAGCTAAGCAAAATGTGCTTCTCTGAATATGTATTTGCTGCCCATAGCTATCAATAAAAGCAAAATATTTCATTTTTGTAGTTAATATTTATTTTTCTATGGACTGGAAACAATGATAACTTTTGAACTGAAAAAGGTCATTTACTAGCCTTTTACATTGATAGAGAATCAGTCAGTTAGCAGTGGATATAGGCTTTATCCAACAGATAGTACATCCTTGTCTTGTACAGACATTAGAGGAGGGATAGAAATTGCCTTGAAGGCGCTTAACATCTTGTTGCAGGGAAATCATATTCATAACAGGAAAACAACTAATTAAAATAATCCCCCAACCAGAAGTCAATGAATACATAACAATATAGCAACAACTAATTGTTTTCCTGTTACTTCCAACTCTACCAATCCTACTTCAGGACCACAGAATTCATTATGAAACCTCCCCCACATTCTTTTGTCAACAGTGAAAAACTTGAATTCCATTATCTACAATATATTAAACTCCAGAGTTTCTGCACTGAAAAACAAACAATCATTAGAGTGAACTGGCAACCAACAGAATGGGAAAAAAATTTTGCAATCTACCCATCTGACAAAGGGCTAATATCCAGAATCTACAAATAACTAAAACAGAGTTACAAGAAAAAAACAAACAAACCCATTCAAAAGTGGGAAAAGGATTATGAACAAACACTTTTCAAAAGAAGACATATATGAGGCCAACAAACATATGAAAAAATGCTCATCATCACTGGTCATTAGAGAAATGCAAATCAAAACTACACTGAGATACCACATTGAGATAAAAATAAAATACATTGAGATAAAAATAAAACCACATTGAGATAAAAGTTTTGTGGGTTTATATTTTATATTAAATCTATGATCTACTTTGAGATTATTTTAGTATGAGACGTGAGGTATAGGTCAGTGCTCATTTTTTGTGTATGCATTTCCAATTATTCAAGTGCTATTTGTTGAAAACATTAGCCTTATTTGATTTAATTTCTTTTGCTCTTTTGTAAGCAAAAAAACCTGAGTTGATTATATTTGTGTAGGTATATTCCTTGTCTCTCGATTCTATTCTGTTGATCTACACATCTATTCTTTTGTCAATACCACCCAGTCTTAATTATTGTAGTTTTAAACTTTCTTCCACCTTTTCAAAAGTTTTTTGGCTATTTTAATGCCAATGCCTTATGTATATATTTTAGAGTCAACTTATTGATATCTATCTATAAAAATATGTGATGGTATTTTCACTGGAATTGAATTGAATCTATAGGTCAATTTGATAACCTAATAACATTTAGTCTTCCAACATCATGTGTGTGTTATATTTCTCTAGTTCTCATTGATTTCTTTTATCAGTGTTTTGCAGTTTATAGCATATATATCTTTAACTTATTTTGTTACAGATGCTTATACTAAGTACTTAAGAATTTCATCTATGGTTCTATGTTAAATGGTATATTTTTATTTTAAATTCCAATTGTTAACTGCCAATATATAGAAATATAATTTAATTTCATTGTATACTATCATATATCCTCTGACCTTGATAAACACATATACTATTTCTAGGAGTTTTAAAAAATTATTTGGGATTTTCTACCTGACAGAAATGTTTAATTTCAGCCCCTTTTTCAGGTCAAGAGGTGTTTGGGTTTTTTTCACTTTTTTTTTTTTTTTTTTTTTTTGCAACAGCAATGAGTATTCACCAGAGCCCAATGGGTGACAGTATGTGGTGTCCTTAATATAGATGAACACATCTGTTCTATAGATATTGCTATGGTTTGAATGTCCCCTGTAAATCTCATGTTCAAATTTCATTGCCATTTCAATGGTTAATATCAAGCAATCGAGGTGGGACTTTTAGGATATGATTAGACCATGATAGCTCTGGCTTCATGAATGGATTAATGCTGTTATCTCAGGAGTGGGTTAGTTACATTGAGAGTTTGGCCTTCTTTTTCTGTCTGCCTGGCATGCTCTCACTTTTTATCATCTTCTCTACCCATGGGATGCCTACCATACCATAATAATGCAGCAAGAAGACCCTCATCAAAGGCAACCTAATTATCTTGGACTTTGTAGCCTCCAGAGTCATGACCCAAATAAACTTCTATTGTTTATAAATTACCCAATCCATAGTATTCTGTTATAATAACACTAAATGAACTAAGACAGATATACAGAAGGCTAAGTGAATTACCTGCCCCTACGCTAGGTACTAAGGAGTACACGTTCCCCAGACTCACTCTGGTCATTTCTGTGAGCAACATGTGGAGTTTGTGGAGTAACGACCTGCAAGAAGATGCAGAATCTATAACTGTGGCCACTTGGAGCTTCGCGATCTCTCACTAGTGTATACTTGGCCTCTAACAATATACCAATCACCCTAACTCAACTATCCTTAATGGTATCTAGCTCTGTCTACAAGTAGACCATTGCTATCATCTCATTTCTTCCAGTAAAAACCAAGTCTCCTTTTGTTGTCCTGCAATCTCAGCTTTCTGTTAGGGTTCAAAAAAAATAGAAAATTTGCTGTTTCTCTGATTTTCGTTGTTGTTATAAGGGTGGGAGAAAACAGTTTCCAGTTCTCTATCTCCCTGAGTAGAAACCAGGGCACCTATTTTTGTTCAACCCATCACAACTTTGAATCTGCTTTGATATTACTTGTCAAATAGCAGTAGGCATGGGCTGTAGCTGTTCAAAAAGGCTCTCAGTAAGAATAGGATGGCAATGATTCTTCCAATGTTGTGAAAAAGTAAAGACAAAACTTGAAAGCTCTTCTCTAATCTCTGATCCTATGCCTGTATCTTGTCTTTTATACTCAAGGCTGCTGCCAAGCCCTCATCACAGTTTATCACAGCTTTGATATATCAAGGATTTTCTCTGCTTTTATGATACTTACTTTGATATAAGCTACTCTCTCTTCTATACTCCCTCTAAGGATTTGCTACCCAAAGTGAGCTAAGTGAATCAGCACAACCTACATCAAATGGAAGCTTGTTGAAAATGCGGAATTTCTGGCCTTAGTCAACACCTAGTGAAATATAAAGACATATTAACAAAATCTCCAAGTGATTTGTATTCACATTATCATCCAGTCAATGTTTGTTTTTTGGAGAGAGAGCCTGCAGTCTAATGTAGATATCACTTGTCAGAAACCAAAAAATTCAAGTGATGCTCTACACATTTTTAAAAATTTTAATTTGCAAGTTATGTTTTTATCCACTTTTACATTACATCACTTCCAATATTCAGGTATATTTAAATAGTAATAAAATTACTGGTCTTTATAGTATTGTGAATTAGAGATGTGTTTGTTAATCACAAACTTTCATCAGAAATTTTGGAAAAAATAAGTCAATTTACTTATGAATATAATAGTTATATGAATTTTATTTTAGATGACTATAACGGTACATTTTTATAAAAGTTATATTGCTATATGATTCACATAAAACAAATTTCATGCAATTCACTTGTTCAATTCATTGTTGTTTAGTATAGTCATAGAGCTGTGTAAGCATCACTACTATCTGCTTTTAAAATATTTTTATCAACACATAAAGAAACTCAATAATCATTAACTGTCACTTCTCATTTCTCTCTTCCCTCATACAC